GGGGGGGGGGGGGTGGAGACAATGTTGTTAGTCTCTTGATAGTGCCGGCCTGAAAGAGTCACACAGATTTACAAAAGACGTAGTGTTATTAACACGTTACCAATGACTTCAGCCCAGCCAACAGAGACGATTATTAAAGCCAAGAATGAGTCACCACCAAGCATATCTGGTAGGCTGTTGTTATTACTTTTTTACGTTGGCTAGTGAAAATAGTAAATGTACGCTGAATTTAGCGTGCAACGAGAAGAAAAGGGTATTTTCTCAGCCTAAATTTAAACTCCCTTTAAGAAAATCAACTTCTAACTTGTAGATGCCTCAGCTTTCACCAAAAGCCTTTAGCAAAATGTGCAACAGAATCAATTTGTTTAGCACGCCTTATGTCATGGCCAGCTGTAGCGGAAGCAGTCTTGGTGCTGCTTTTAATCGCAACGAGTCTAGTATAATTGATTTTTTTAGCTACATGTACCAAGCGTTTCGTGTCAAGTCAACGGACAGATCGTCGCCATCTTGAATTTGAACGACACAGGAGACAATGGGGCTACTTCACTTCACATTATGATAATCATTGGAGGCGGCGTGGCCGAATTGTTTAGGGTGCTGGAGGTCCCTGGTTCAAATCCTCCTGCTTACTGCTACCTAGATTTGTTCTCGGTAGTGCCGAGTACAACTCCTCGGCGCATTTTGTAAGTAACCAACTGGTCAGCCTCCCACCAGTTGGGATTCTTAATAGTTAATCTTCTATTTGAAATGTTTGTTTGTTTATTTATTTACAGTGTCCCCAACTAGCACAACAGTGCTAAATACATTTGACAATCGTTAGAAAAAGTTAAATTTTTTTATATGATTTATTTATTAATCAGTCAATTTCCATGTGTGTATTAATTGTTTGATTGAATTTTTTATCCCCGCAGCCTCCTGGAGGAAACTCTTGTTGATTGCTGCCTTGCTACTTGTCACTATTGTGATCTTGGTGATCACTTTGTGGTACTGGTATCTTCACAGAAAAAGGTTCAGAGAAAGACAGAGAGTAAATGAGGAGAGCGGAACACGGCTACAGGAAAACGCGCCAAGAGGGAGAGGACAGAGGGAAGAGGAATCGAGAGAAGATAAGGAGAAACGTAAATACTCACGACTTAAGTACGTCGGGTCGCTTAAAGATTCACCGAATGCTGGGGAAAGCGAAGTTATGGTTTGAATAAAGGACAACAGCAAAAACTGCTAAGGACTAAGGAAAATTGTATAGCTTTAATGAAACGGAAGTAAAGAGTTAGTCAAATTTATATATTAATATATTCATAGCTTCGAGAAATCCCAGTAAGTTCCTGTAAGCCAGTGGACCATACGGATGTGGGGTGAGATGGGTTACAGGGAAGAGTGACGGGGGTTGAGATTGCTTTCAAGCTCATTCTAGGCGATAAAACTGCCCCTGATACTCAAGTCAAAGGCCTGTGTGTCTGTTGTTTTACTCGCTCTTTTTGACCATGAGGCTGTTAGAGGAAAATACCAGAAGTTTACTTTGCTTGTTGTTGCAATGTTATATAGTTTAAACAGCGGACATAATTAAGCTTGAACAATTTTGACGTTTATTACTTACATGATTAAATTAACGATATGTAGACCTGTGGTCTATAAAGTCGTTTCACTTAAGTTACTTAGGCTACGCACTGTTAACTTATATTTAATTTAGATGCTTTTTTATCGGCGGTTTTAGCGATAGCTGCAATGTGCCAGATTTCTTCAAAAGAAATGGCAAAATAATTTATAAAATGGCTTAAAAAGGCCAAGAGAAGACAAGTGTTGTATTCATCGTTTCAACTCTGAACGTGTGATTCAGATTGGTTTAATTGCAATTTGAACACTTGTCGATTAATTTTCCTTGCAGTATTTAATAATTTAAAAATAATTTAAATATACTTCCGAGTAACAAGTTTGATATTTGGTAGTTTGGTTTCTAAAGATAATTCTATACACAATTTCATAGTTGCCTTGTATGCAATTTAGATTTTATAAGCAAGCTATCTGTGAGTATTCTATATGATTTGTTGTCTGTTTTCTATTTAAATATCTGACAGAATTTTTGCTGTCCATAAAAAGTAAATCCTGTTGTAGAATGTTTTTTTTTTCATCAAATAAATGAATGAAATTCATGTTCAGTCCTAGAACGTCACATAAGCTTGGTTTGCTTTATTTATTTTAAAGGCAATCAAAACAGTGGTGACCTTAACTGAGGTCGGGACATTAATTCGAATTGTTTAAATTAATATCATCATAATGATAACCATTTCAACGGAACGCAAAGAAAAGCACGGTTGCTTCTCAAGAAAAATTTAACCTACTATTTTCTGTGTTAAAAAAAAAAAGTCAGACTCAACTTAAACGATTTTAGGGGTGCTCTAATATTATTGGCTGACATGTCCGTAAACATGACGACATCAATATCCTCACATGTGAGAGAGATATATATGTTATTTGCCGGCTTACGGTCGGTCCGTATGGTGAAAAACTGTGACCGAGGTCTTGAAAATGCTGCCC